GCGGAAGTGGTTCCCCCGCTTGCGGGGGGGTCAGGGGGATCCGCGCCAAGGGAGGACTTGGAAAGTGGGTGAAACGGTGCACAAACAGACTGTTTGAGTGCGGCCTTCAGAGCCTTCTTTTCAATGCTCCGTCTCACTTGGTTTCCACTAACTCGAGGTGAATTTTCGGCATTTCCTGAATTCGGGAACCAGACCTAATATTATCCAAAACGCCCATTTACTATAATTATAATTAAAAAAATATAAAATATAGTAAATTAATTCTATATTAAGACGGGGTGAGGGTGGGAAAGGTCTGCCCCTGAAAATATTTTTTGCCAAAAAAATAAAAAATGTCTAACTCTGCAAAAACCGTGCAACTTTTGCAAAATGGGGCGGCTAAGTAAAAAAGAGGGGATCATAAAAATAAAATTATCACAGTTTTCAGTCCTTAATTGAGAAAACTGTTTTTTGCTAATTTCAAAGTCGTTTTCTATGCATTGAACACACATTCCATCGACAATTGAATTGCATTGTGTATGTGTGGTGCACGCCATCTGTTCTATATCAAGTATTGTCGAATCATTACATTTTATTAAGTTGTTTTGAGTTGAGCAAACTGAATTTGTTGCACCACAACTGTAACTATGTTTTGTGTCGTCAAATAAGTTCTCGTTTTGCAACCAAAAGCTATTTCATTTCCCATCAATTATTCACATTCTCTTTTTCACAAACACTTTCATTATTCAGAGTGTAATCATCTTTACATATAATACAAGTTGTTATTCTTTTTTCGAATTTCTGGTATTTACAATGATCTAGTTCTACTGTACATTTTGAGTTGATCAATATTTAATCCAAACAGTCATATGAAGTTAGAGATTGTGATTCACAACTTCAGGTTGATACACGCTTCGAGTTGGAAACAAAAAGTGTCACTACAGTCCAGACAGTTTGTTTTTGTTGAATAAATGTCACAATTGATATCTTTTTAATACATTTTGGGGTGCCTGTTGTGTTGTCAAAGTATTCATTTGATTTACACAATTCACATTCTGTGTGATTCAAAAAATAAGGGGCAATACAAGCAGTGCAATTTGCTTTGTCAAAATAAATTGTATCACATGTGTTGCAATTGTTGGTTGTGTTGTAACACTTTATGTATGTTGTCTCGTAGAACTTATATTCGCCAGTTGGACAACTTTTACATTTGCCACTTTTCTTCACAAATCAATCTTTGCACATCAGGCACTTCTTTGAATCAGAAGTAATATGTTGCAATTCGAAATTGTGGAACAAGCAACACATTTTCCAAATGCTTCGTCGATTTATACACATTTGCACGCACTTTGCACTTTCTCGAAAAGTCTGGTGAAATTGGATTGAATATTATGTAAAATGATTTGCATGCAACACACACTTTGCTTAATAAATCATCAAAATGTAGTTTGTTGCACATCTTGTGCAGACACCAGTTGATGTGTTGCACTGCCCGTTACAAATTGCATCACAATCAACATGTGTGTGATTTGCAGTTGATGGATACTTTGACAGTTGATACACTTTCGTTAGTTTGTTTCACACTCAGCACAATTTGTGTTACTAGCTTAACAAGTATAACAATTATTTGTGATTGATGATGTTAGAACATATCCACTTTTGCACCCAGTGAATATTCCTGTTGTTGTATCACATTTACCACCACGTTTTGAGTCACATCTTTGACATTTGAAGTCGCCAAATGTCTTTGAATAATACAATGTGTTGTATTGTTTACATTTTTTTGTTGAGTCTGACAAGCATGTAATACAGTTGACGTTAAACATCAAACA